AGTTTAAAAAATTTGGCTCTCAAAAGAAATGTCAGTCGTTGTATTGTTGATATTTGGCTCTGTTGACTAATGAGTTTGCTGATCACTGTGCTAAAGGTAAGATAAGTGGGTATGAAAAAGAAGTTTTTGTGAAAATACTTCCATAAGTTTTGTGGCTAAACATATCCAGCTTAATACAGGTAGCAGCTCAGCTCTTGAACGTCCAGTGCAGGATCACAGTGAGCATGGGAAAGAGTCCGTGCCCCGTGCGGGCCAGACCTGACCTTGCCTCGTTAGAGTGAAAATCTCAAGCATCAGGCCTGGTAAAGATACGTAGGAAAACAAAACAGATAATAACAAGAAAGAGTGAAGAAAAACTTTCTATTAATTCTGTTTTAAGATTAAAGGCTGAAATACTGGCAGGTAATTTCCCTGAGAGCTACTTCTCTCAAAGTTCCTCTCATCTGCCTTGTCATCCCTACAACAGCCACTTTGCTTTTTTATTGATCTAGAAATTGAAAGCATAAATATTTGACTTTCTCCAGAGGCACATGCGTGCTCACATTTTCCAGGGCCCTCAAAGAAATCTGATATGACCAGGTAGGCAGGGAGCTTATTCAGTTTTATTCTGCATCTATTTTCCAGTTACTGAATTTCCTAAAGAAGTTGCTGAAATAGAATGGGCTAAAACATTAAAGTTTTATTGTCATGACTCTTAAATGTATTCTGATTCAGAGCAGGTTAGTGAGTTTCACGTGCTTGTAACCCCACGAGCTATGCGGAGGGAATAGTTTCAGATTTAGTTGACTTTTATGAAGCACCCTTCCAATACCATATTACTAGAGGATCTCCATAAACTACATTTTAATATATGTATTATGATACATAGGCATTTAATAATCACATATATTATCACATTCTCTCCATGGGTATCATCCTGCTTTCTCCAGGTCATAAAGCTAGTAATTATCTTAGCTACCATTTATTTAGCTCTTGCCTAGTACCGGACCCTGTACTGACAGTGATGCCTACGTTATTTTATTTAATCCACACAGGCTCCTTCTGAGGTAGATAGTTCTAAATCCAATGTCACAAATGAGGGATTGTAGTCAAGAGGAGTGGGATAACTTCCTCAGGATTAAGTGGCGAGGGAGTTGGAAACCCTGTGCTTCTGAGGTAGCAGAATTTCAGCCAAGGTCTCCGAGTGTCCCTTTCTCTCCATCGTGATGTGGTGGTAACATCAGAGCAGACAGATCTGCCTCAGGGGCCAGTTGTTGCTTGTACTGGACCTCGTGGTCTTACGTGAGCTTTTGTGTGTATTCCTGATGGTACAGTTCCTGCTGAGGAGTCATGGGGCAGTTCCTGGTGCCAGGTTACTAGACGATAAAGAAGGACAGCATTGAGCAATGCAGGCGATAGTCCCTCTGCACGAGGTATACTAGCAAGGACACATGGATGTGTCCACGAATAGCTCCCACAGCCTGTTCTTTCTCTAGCTCTCTCATGAAACATAAAGAAGGGACAGCCGGCCAAAGAGTGAAAACTCACAGACACATGTTTAAATGTCTCTTACTGACCATGCTCATTCCCCTGTTCCAGAGGATCAGCTAGAATTTGATATGTGGAAAGGAGGATCAAGAAGTGAAAATCCAAGTAACATAAAACGATTAACCCACGGAAACTCCCTGAAACCAAGTATGGGGCACAGACTGTCCCGGTAACAAGTGGCTGATTCTACCTGAGCCAGGCTTTTAGGGCAAAGACTTCCTTTGCTTCATAAGCCACGGTGCTCAGCAAATAGTGAGGACAGGCACAGCGCAGTGTATTTTGGCTTTTCCACTTGACCTTTCCAGAATCCTAATTAAGGATATTGTAAATTCTATATAAACAGACCATTCTGCAGTTGGTTGCCAAAAATATTTGTATCGTATGTGTATCATGCATCCAATTCTAGATCCAAACGGTGACCAATGGCTCTTATAGACCAAACTCCCAATTGGAATTAGTCATTTTTTTCCCCTCCTGTGAGCTCAAATAAATTAACTTTTAATCTTATTTATGGAATCTATCATATTCTGCCAATATATATTTATGGAAGCACTTGTTTATGTATTTATTTTAAAGTCTTTCTCTTGAAGAAGCTGCTTATTAAAATAAGTATGAATAGTTGATAGTTTTTACTGTCCTTTTGATACTGGCCTTTTGGTATTTTGAGAGAAGTATGGACTTTATTTCGTAGCTTGACTCCAAGGAAAACGAAAAAGGTACAAGGGATTTTAAGAACAGCATTGATGTGTCCCCAAAACTTAAGAGCAGTTGCTAAAAGTTCAGACTGGAATCCTATTTTAGTTTCCTCGTGGTCTTCATTACCTCTCGTTCATTTCACACACAAAGAGCATTGACTGTCCTTCCCCCTCCCAACCCACTCCTTGTTTCTATGCAGAGAAAGCATGTTGCAAAAAGACCTTCACTGCCTCATGCAGGAAGCTCATAAAATTGCTTGGAAGTACCTGGCTCAGGACGAGCAGCTTCTGAGGCCCCATCTAAGTAGTGCCTGTGGTTGCACATTCGCTGTTTTCTTCCCAACACTCAGACATTTCCGTTCCAGTCAAGATTCGCATCATCTAACACTAGCAACGCCTCTCCCACCTTGAATTCTGCAGCCACCTGCATCATCTTGGTTTTGATAGTTTGCAATGCTGGGTAGGGAAAGAAAGAACGCTGAGCAGGTTTGGGTACCAACTCTACTTCGGATTGACCCTGTAACCTTGGGCAAGAACCCTGGCGTAGTGTGGTCCAGAGTCCCACTCAACACAAAAAGGATTTAAAGGGCTTGTGTGTTTTTCAGTGAACCAATGGAGTCATGTGAGAAATGTGCTTCAAGCCGTTAGGACAAAATGGTAACAAAAAACGTAGGTTTTGTGGAAGATGACTTGCTAACATCGTTCTTTTGGGAATGGATGCATGTTTGGTTGTGTCGCTTGGGACAAGCATCCTTTCACCTGTGTTGGTTCTTTCTGTGACCTGTGATGAGACAGAGCATAAGCCCATAGACAGTGTGTATGTGTGCTGGTTTTACAGAGGAAATGGAAACGCTCTGGCAGCAGCCAGCTTTAGGTTGAAAATGTTCCAGTTCCAGAGCCTTCAGAGGTCAGCATGGACTCTCAAATTGAGAACTAGGACTTAAGCTAAATAGTTCACCTCTTTTTCTTTCTTTCCTTACTTCCTTGTGCTTGCCTTTATCTGCTCTCATTCATTTGTGTCTACAAATTAAATGGCCCCTTTCCTCGCTTCTTTTATTAATCATAAACAAATATTTTTCAGACTTATTGAAGTATAATTGACAAAAACAATTTTAATATACTTAAAGTGTACAATATGATTTCATTTACATATGAATTGTGAAAGTTTCCCATCAAGTTAATTAACACATCCACAACCTCACATATTTATTTTGTTTGATGAGAACACTTAAGTTCTATTCTCAGCAAATTTTAATTAAATAATACAGTATTATTAATTATAGTCACCATATGTTACATTAGGTCCTTAGATTTTATTCTTTTTAAAGAGAAAGTTCATATCCTTTTACCAGCCTCTCCCTATTTCCCTACCACCAGTCCCTGGCCACCATCTTTTTACTCTCTGTTTTTTTGAGTTAGACTTATTTTTTCTTTTCTTAAGATTCTACCTATAAGTGATACCAGGCAGTATTAGTCTTTGTCATTGGCTCATTTTATTTAAAATTAAAGTGCTTCATGTTTATCCATGTTGCTGCAAATAGCAGGATTTCCTTCTTTTTAAAGATTGAATAATAAACAAATATTTTTGAGTTCCTGTTAGTTAAGTGCCAAACTGGGCAGATTCTGGGGAAACACCATGAATAAGACATGCCCCTTCTATTCTTCCCTGACAGAGCTTACATTTGAAAGTTCACAGACAAATAAACCTGTTTGGTTCTCCTTACAAATTTATGTAGGTGAGATGTAAACCATGGCAAACTAAATGGTCAGGCTAGGAGCTTGGGGAAGGGGTGTTGCTTAGGGACCAAACAATAATTAGCAATTTGGATGTTAAATGAACTATGGAACCCTCAAAGACAAAAACCTGGTAATTGTTAATGGACAGTATTTCCATACATTAGAGATATTCTGAGTAGCAGTGTATTTTATAATACCGAAAGCTTCACATATTAGGAAAAAGGCTCATCTGATAAAGAAAACTTTTAATTATAGAATACTTTTTAAATACTAAATAAAATAGTTGCAAGAGGAGGGTTGGCTTAATAAATAAATTTGATTTTTTGCAGGTAACATCTACAAATGATGTCAAATTAGATGAAATAATTTTAAAAAATTAGATTAAATATTCACCCCAATTATATGTATATAATTTATTATTTATTTATTACTGTTTTTTTTCACACATTTTCAAATACTTATTTTCTCATACACAGTCCAAACTTACAAAAATTCCCAAGAGGTTGACTCTTACTTAGTGAAACTCCATTTTATGAGTTTGACTCTACATGAAGGCAGACGTCAACTTGTTAATAGCCATGTCTTCTACTGAAGTATGAAACCTGAAACAAATTTTAATGCCATCTCATTCAGTATTTGCCATGTTTCTTACCAGATTAGAGCATGACAGATGTGACCAAATTTTTTATTATTTTATCTAGGTGAAAGGTAAATATCTATAACAATAAAAGCATAATATGCTAATTAGACTGAATCTTTCCAGACGACCTTCCAGACGAAGCTGGGACTGTAAGGGAAGCCCGGGTCCCGGGTGCCTGAGGGAAGCAGGTGCTGGCAGCTGTGGGGAAGGAAGGCCTACTCTTGCATGAATTTCATGCACCAGGCCTCTAGTAGTTGTAATAAAAGAAAATTAATTGTGCCCTTACATTGTTATTAAAGACTATTGTAATGCCTAGCCCTGCATTTTCAGATGACCAGTTCTGCATTTTTTTTTGTCAGTTACATTTTCCTTTTATAGTAAAAATGATCTTTGTCTTACAGTTAATATCTCAGTATCTAATGACACCACATTGGCGCCAGAGGAATTCCCTTCTGTGTTTCCTACTGACTTGGTAAGTGACTTAATATTCCAAGCCACTTGTACACTTGCATATTGTATACCCTAATTATTATATTCATAATGTGATGTCTCCTGCCACTCAGCAAGCTTAGCCCAAGCACGTTGAACACTCAGTGATGGTAGGACAGAAATAATACTTTCCTTTCTCTATTTAGCTTGCTTTTTCTTTTGTGTGTGTGTGTGTTTTCAAAAAAATTGGAGTGAATATTTACTTCTACCGAATGCTTTTTAAACCTGCTTAGGAATTTAACTGCTTAACCAATTAACTGTTACCTTGAAATGTTTTCACAAGGTAAAAGTGAGGGGAGTCGAGAAATGAGAGCATGGTGTCCTCTCTTTGTTCCTAGTACAATTAGGAATTCTTCTGACTGTGTTCTCTTCACTAACACTAAGGGTGATTGTAGCGGGATATTTCCCATCACTTAGAAAAAACCCAAGCCTCTGTCACATGATATCCTTTCCCATGGCAAGTAACCAAGGATCTTTGAGAGACTTGAACTAAGTTTTAAAAATGAGCTGTTTTGCATGGAAGGTCACACACTGGAAGGAGACTTTTGTGCTGGAGAAAAAGAGAAAAGTGCTGTCTCTCACTTCCAATTGTGTTCCTCCTGCACTGGACATGGACTCTGACCAAAGAATATCAATCTCTCACTTATAAAGACCGGAACCATAATACCTTGTATTGATAGAGTGCCCATCTCTCAGGAGACCAGAACACTTCTGCAGGTATTATACCCAACATCCCTTTCAAAGACGATGTTTTGTATCCGTCCTGGACAACTCCCACTTGACCCTGTTTCTCTCTTGTTTTCATAGTCTGTGGCTCTCTCTTAACTTTTTAAAAAAGTTTTCTCTGACTTTCCCCAAATGTAGCCTCTTTTATTCTTTCACACTTGTGTGTGTGTGTGTGTGTGTGTGTGTGTGTGTGTGTGTGTGCCTATACCTTTTAAAAGCCACATTGAGAAAAGACTTCAGTTTTCAGTCTTTCAGCCAACCAGCCTATTGCCTGAAAGGATTTGATTAAAAATAGAGAGAAAAATACTGTCTTCTAGACTTTAAAGAATTTTAATTAAAATCTAATAAAAATTTAAAAGTATATTTAATTAAAACTGTAAGCAATAAAAATTAATAAAACACTTGCTTCCACTGACTTAAAGAGAGATTGTTCCTAACTTAATTATTTTTATTTAATTAATCAAGGAAAGCTATAAAATTAATGAATTTTTAAGCCCTGTCTTTGGGCAAGACCTAGGGAGACTTAGTAATTGATATATTGTAATTATAGTCGGATGACACTGTAAGATTCATGGAAAACAAATGGCAGTTTGTGACCATGATAGAGGATATAAAGGCACAATGATGATTGTAAGTTAGCTGCCAATTATAGAGCATCTGCTACCAACAAGGTGTTTCACATGTCTTATAATCATTATAAGCCTTAATATCTATTACAATCATTAACACAAACTACCAGGCATGATTATCTCCATTTGGTAAATGAAAGAAACAATTTCCCGAAGGTAAGAAATCTTTTTTGCTCTAGATCACGTAGCCATAAATTTGTGGAACAAAGAATTGAAGTGTGGGTAGTTCTAAGACTTGGGATATTGAAATGTTTACCCTTTCAGTTCCTGTGAGTGCTGTACACTGAAGGGCAGCAGCCACTCCTGTGTGTTAATTGCACACCTTAATTAAATTGTTAAGTTGCTATGTTCAGAGAGAAAAAATTAGGAAAAAATATGCATATGTGTGTATATAATTATGAAAGATAACGTTTGTTCTATTTTCATTTCTCCTTTTCTATCCATATCAGTTCCTTTGTATAAACACACACACACACCCACACACACACACATGCACGCATGCATGCACACGTGCACACACTGACACTATATAGGTAGAAAATCTAGAAATGAGTATTGAAGAGATAAAATGATTATTATTAGCAATAACTACCATTTTTTAAGCACCTACTAGGGGACAGACTCTTTACGTTAATTGTCTATAATCCTTACAATAACTTTATGAGTTATTATGTAACCTGTAATTTATAGACGAAACAGAGGCTTAGAAAGGTTAACTGATCTTCCAAAGGCCATATCACCAGTATATAGTAAAACCAGGATTTGAACTTAGGCTTTCCAACTTCAAAATTTGCCCATTTCCATTATTTGGGTAATCAAAACAGTGTTTCATGTAGAAGACTTGCAGATATTAAGTTCTCGTGTCAGACTGCCTAGCTTCAGATGCAAGGCTCCACTACTTAACAGCCCCTAGAACCTTCTTAGTTTCCCTTCTGTAAACTGGTGATGGTTATAGTACATACACCAAGATACTGAAAGGTGGGGCCAAAGTAGGCTTACAGTTGTCAGTACACAAAACACAAAGTTTATTCTTATATTATTATTGATTACCTTTTGCATTATTTCCCATACAAACACCTACAAACCTACTTTTGCTCCACCCTGTATAAGGGTCAAATGAATAAATAGATAGGATGTAGGACAGTAACTGGCACATATCTCTCAGTCATCATGCCGTTATTATTCTGTTTGGATATTATTACCATTCCAGTAGGCCATGCTGCCTCCATAACTCAGACTGATGGAGAGAAAAAACGGAAGCCCCTGCTTCCCACAGGCTGCTGAGACCCCTGTCTGCCCAGCCACGCGAGCTCCACCACCTGAACCTTCACTGTGACGTACAGTCATCAGCACTTAATTTCCTCCTTTTCCTTTCAGCCATAATTAGATCACGAGAGAAGGTGCTGTGAAAGTGACACGCAGTGCCAGGCACCAGACAGACTCCCTCTCCCAGACCCTGAGAACATCCTGCCGGAGGAAGGAAGGCCTTTACTTTCAGCTTCATTAGCAGGATGACAAGCTGTCTTCTTCCTAGTGATAGGGGGCGGGGGGGGGGGGGGGGGGGCGTGTCTTCACGGGGAAAGAGCAGGAAAATTGGGGCATTGGAACATTTAGACAGGGATCAGAACTCTAGAATAGCCATCCCCCAAGATAAAAGGGCAGGTTTTCCATTATTTTCATTTATTGTTGGATTCATTGTGTCTTTAATTCTTCTTACCTTTATCAGTTTTCCCATAGATTTCTCCTCTGGTATATTCCTTCAACTCGTAAGCAAAATTCATTCATAGGTCCCTTTAAGACTTTGAGACCAGCCACGGTTTATCCACCCTGTATATCTAAACAGTAAGCTTTAAGATCCATTGGCTTCCACTTAGCAGTTCTCAGTGGGAGAGACCAGATTTCAAAATCTAATGCCATCTCTTCTGAGGAGGTCATTGAATGGAGCAGGTGGTATTTCCTTTTTATGTTAAATTCCTTTTTTATGTTTTTGTTTTTTTTAGTAAGTGGAGGCCTGTCGTAGAATGTGCAGTTCTTAACGTGTTCACTGCAATGCGTTTTGGCAATTTTATACAGTCATGTAACCGCCACCCCAAACAAGAACATTCCCCTCATCCCAGAATGCCCCGTGGAATGTCCGAGATCCTGTTCTCTGCCCCAGCATTTGGGCTTTGGGAGATCTTTCTTTTTCCGACTGCTCTGCCCTCAAACTCCGGGGGTCAGATGCCTTAGTCCTCTTCAGTCAAAAGTGCCTGAATAGCTCCAAGGGTTTTCTCTCAGCTCTCCTGCCCTGCCTCCCCGTTGAGGAAAGGGGCTTTCTTGCATTTGGTGGAGTCGCTGTGTTTAAGGGGGGATTTCTTGCAGCAATCTGATCTAACCTCCGGCCTTTTCTGTACTACTTGGGCAAGCGGCAAAGACTGTGAAAAAGTTTGGTGGGTGGACACAGGCTCCATCTATGCTTAACGCCCCTCAGAATCCTAATGGGCATTAGGCAGCTATTAAAAATTCATTTAAGGCTTGGCTTATTTCTCCTTACCTCCATCTTTAGTTGCTTTATCTTCCACCTGCTACTCTGCCAGGGGTGAGGCAGCCTTTGAAGGTTTTGTAACTTTTTGGAATTTATTTAGGTTTCTTTGCATCCTCCTCTCTGGTAGATGTTTAAAAATTATGATTTTATAGCTTATCCAGCTGTGATGGTATCATGCAATTTCCTATATCTTAACTAATTAGTTATGATATTTTACAAAACTAATTATATTTTGATATAATATAGACAACTGAAGTTCAAATGCATCCTGTCCATCATAAAATAAGGTTGTCCATTACTGCAAAGCCGACTCATCCTCTGTAGGAAAGAACCCTAAATGAGTATATGTATTGTTTAACCTTGAGACTTTTATTTATAGTATTACGACCATATATATATATATATATATATATATATATATATATATATGTTTAAAAGGCATATAGTTTACCAATCTATACTCAAAGAGAGCAATGTAAAATTGTTAATTTTTCAAAAAAAATTTTTTTTGCTGATTGTATTACCCAGAAAAGCATATCATGTCTACATGAAGATGCTGTTAATCATGGGACTAAGAAGTATTACAGCCTCATATATTCTGCTTGGCAGCCAGACATGAAAGCAAAAGTGCTTTGATTTGATATACCTTCTGGGCAATTCGACGAGTGAAGATTCATTTCAATAGGAAATGGAATGTCATTTTTATCTTCCTGTGCGTAGAGTCCTTATGCTTTTCTCTCATTGAGAAAGATAAGTGCAGAAGCCACTCTGTCCTTAAATCTCCTTGAAGATTACGTGTGCCTAGCTTTTTAAACTGTATGGAGCATGTGAAACATGCACTAAAGTAGAGAGCATGGCACAGGGAAACCCACATACATATGACCTAGCTTCAGAGACTGTCCACATTCTGCCCATCCTCTCATCTAGCCCCCACTTTTGTGATTGGAGAGGATGCTATAGTATTTTAAATTTTGAAATTAATCTTTTAGTATACATTCCACTTTTAAGAGTTAGAAACAAATCCACTTGATAGAAACAGGGTCTCTAGGAAATGAGATCCAGAGAAATAGACTAAAATCTTTTTCTGTGAGCTTGACCTCAGTTAAAACCACCAGAAACTTGGCCCCATTTCCTTTACATTTTCCCCCCTCACTTCCCATTTACACGGACAATCTGCTTTGACCCACCAGGTCCACTCACTGTCAGTCCCTCCACATGGTGAGCACAAAGTAAGGTTTGAATAAAGGACTTACTGAATAAGTGAATGAATCATTGTGTGTAAGCAAGAAAACACCTGTCATTTCATGTACATGTGTATAGTTTTCACTTCAACCTGAATCTCTGTTAGAAAATCAATAAAACTTCCTGTTGGTATTTTTTTTAATGCAGCCTACCTCTTTGGGAACTCTAGTTATAAAAAAGCATTGTGGCCCTGGCTGGTGGCTTGGTTGGAGCCTCATCTCATGTACCAAAAGGTTGTGGCTACATACCTAGGTTGCCGGTTGGTTCAATCCCAGGTTGGGCCTATATACGGGAAGCAACTAATGGATATTTCTCACTCATATTGATTTTTTTAAAATTTTATTTCTACCTTTCTCTCCCTTTAAAATCAAAATAAATAAAAGCATATCCCCAGGTGGCAATTGGGGAAAAAAAGTCATTCTGTCGATATAAAAAGATCTGAACTGAAATTATGATAAATATTTGCTGAGTTTAAAACAAAGAAATCTGTTACCTATTATGACCCCTAAACTTTAAATGTATTCTGCTGAAAACATCCATTTGCAGAAATTTGAAAAAACAAAATGAGACGTGATTAATCAACTCTCAGAAGCAGAATTTGATAAAATAGTAGTTATGCAATTCAGATGTTTTTAAGTTGAAGCTAATATAGAAAAAAATATTTCAGGGAATGACTTAGAGTTTATTTTTGTTGTTGTTGTAAAAGAAAAGTGTGAGCACTTTACATGTTGACTTCTATAAAAATATAGCACTCTTCCTGTCCAGAAAGTCTTCTTTTATATGTATAGGTCTTTTTTGACTAGATCACTCCTATCAAGAGAATTCACTGAATAGTAAATGGTATTGAAGATGCATTTGGCTTGAGGTAGAACTCTTGCTTCCAAAGGACAGGAGAAATTTACCTTTCCATACTTATTTGCAAGGTATCCTCAAGTAGCTCTTCTGTTTACACATAATATACCCACTAGCTCTCTACCCAAGAGGAAGTCCAATATCATGGTATCAGTATCTGGTGTGGATCATGCTTTCTAGCTCATAGACAGCCTCACCGTGTACTCATATGGCAGAAGGGGCAAAGGAAGCTCTCTGGGGTCCCTTTTATAAGGACACTAATCCCATTCATGAAGGCTCCACTTTAGGGGATTAGAGTTTCAACATTGAGTTTTAGGGAAGCCCAAATATTCAGTCGGTATCCACACCATTAGTGTGGTCAGTAATTGGCTTCCAGCGAGGGAGCTTTTAGGTTGAAGTCAGTTCTCTAGGGAAGTGGGGAGCTGGGAGCTGGTCGCAGCTAAAACTCAGAGCAGCTGGGGATGGATGCACTGGCCTATTCATTACCTTAGCCAAAGGATTCTCCTGCATAGTTGAAACAGAAACTAGGAACAGGAGTAAGCTGTTCTTGCGAAGCATGACACTGACAACATGACAGCAACTTATGAGAAGGAAATCTGAAAATTGACCTTTGAGCTTGAGGCCATGTAATGTAGGGATGAATGGATACCCCATACACAACACCACAGCCCATTACCGCATGTTCCAGTGAGGGACACTCATGATGCAGACCTGAAGTCAACAAGAAAAAAAGCTATTTTTATTAGGATGTACATTGAAAAAGCAGGGTCCATCAACATGTTATAGTTGTATTCCTTAATTTTCCAACTCTAGTTATTTAGAAAACAAACAACTCATTTGTGAAAACATTGGGTAAATGAGTAGTTAACAACATAACCTTTAGTGCCTTAAAAGCTTGAAGCATAAAGAGCTGCTCACATGAGCTCACTCATCTAGGGGAAATGATGAACAGCATAGACTGATGAACAAGAACAGCATCGATCAGACTGTTGGACCTTGGAGGGAAGGTAGGGTTAGGGGAGAGGGATTGACCAAAGGACTTGTATACATGCATATGAGCCTAACTGGTGGTCACAGACAGCAGAGGGGTGGGAGCATGCAAGGGGAGGGGTTTGGGATATGAATGGGGGAGATGAGGACAAATATGTGATACCTTAATCAATAAAGTTATTAAAAATATAATAAAAAATCCAGGGGGGAGGGGGAAACATGTAATGGGTAATAAAAATTTTTAAATTAAAAAAAATTAGAAGAAAAGAGCAAGAGAAGAGAGGGAAAATATTGACTAATGAAGAAAGGGAAAAGAGAAAGGGAAATATAGTAAGAGAAGGGAAAAGGAAATTATATATGTGAATATGCCAACAGAGACTACAATAATAATAATAACATATCAATAAAGAATATCATTTTTTGGATAAAAAAATAAAATAAAGAGCTGCTCACTACAAAAGTAAGTACTTTCAAATGACCGTGTTTCAGACTCTCACGTTTTGAGACAGGATATTGTGCCTCAATTTACTCTCTGGAAGACTGATGGGAAGGAAGGATTTAGTTTGAACAAATAGGTGACTGTCAGGCTGTAGCTCAAAGTAGGTAACAGACTGTGACGTCTTCATTGTATTTTCAATAACTGCCAGCCTCCTGGGCACCCGTGCTTGTTATCCCATTAACATCTCACCCAGCTTCACCCTGCAACAGGGGCCTCCAGACTGTTTTACAGAGACTTCTGCATAATCCCTATGGGCCCATCAAGTAGAAAAGCTTTTGATGTGTCAGTGTGCTCTAGAAAAATGTTCATGTTTTTCTTCTTTAGTACGACAACACTACCTTGGACTGGGCACTTTTGTCGAAGAAGGAGTGTTTGAAACATGGAGGCCAGCTTGTGGGGAGCAACTGCGATTTTGTTCCCGATGTCACACTCATGTCTTTCATCCTCTTCTTGGGCACCTACACCTCTTCCATGGCCCTGAAAAAATTCAAAACCAGTCGTTATTTTCCAACGATGGTAAGTACTTGAGCTTTAAATAATTTTCATTAAATTTACACTGTACACTGTATCAACAATGATACAGTTTTATGTAATTTTGTGCACTTAAAAAATTGCTTTCCAATGCAATTTTGTGCATTTAAAAAAATTGCTCTCCAGTCTTTTTCCATAGGCATATGTATTTTTTTTAAAAAAAACAATCATAGTCCAGCTTTGAAAAACTTTCCACAGATATTTTGCTCACATAATTCTGTCATAAGTCCCGACTGTCATAATTCTGACTGTACTAAAATGAAAAAAGTGGAGCATATTCTATGTAAAAATTCACAATTTAAGAAAATACCTTTTAAATCCATAGTATTTGAGTAGGAAAGCAAAAACTCATTTCATTTTAATCAGGAATTTTGATGTAGAGTTTCTTGCTCGTCAGCTGTCCATTTGAGTATTTTAGTAGTTAAATTATGAGCTGTGGGAGGAAACTTAAACTGTGTTGTTACATAAGTATTGGCATAAGATATGGGTGTTATCTTAGCCAAACTTTCCATTCCATAATAACGAATGTTATAATATGGAAAAACAGATGATTGAGTTGGGTTGTGCAGACATCCTGTCTGTCTCCCATTAATATGCTTGGGTGAATGTAAAGTCACAACTGTGATTCTTTGAGACAGTACAAGATAAGATCAACATTTAGTTAATGGCATTTTGTGTGTGTGGTTTTATTTATTTATTTTTTTACCTGAAGAATAAAACTAAGATAATCCTTTGTTTCACAGTTCAGTTCTCAGTGTTTTGGATGTCAGTAATTCTTAGGTAATCTTGATAATACCTGACTTTTATCAGTGAACTGCTCTATACTGGAATTTCATGAAATCTTTCCTCTGGTGTTTTGTATACAAGGAGTGGAAGAATTTAAAAGACAGGAGATGCATTAGATTTAGAAAGTTGCTTTTTCCCCCCCAATGCCTAGGAAATGAAACTTAAAATTAATACTTTGACTCTTTGATTCTTCTTATAAAACTGAAAATAAAGGGGTAGGTTGGTCATTGTCTTAGTCTATTTGAGGTACTATAACAGAATTCTGTAGAATGGGAGGCTTATAAACAATGGACATTCATTTCTCACAGTTCTGCAGGCTGGAAAATCCAAGATTAGAAGCCATCATTGTTGGGTGATGGCCCTGTTCCTGATTAATAGCCATCGCTTTTTTGCTGTGTCCTCATGTGGTCAAAGGACTAGGAATCAATTTAGTGTCTCTTTTATAAAAATACTAATCTCCTTCATAAAGGTTGATGACCTAAGCACAATCCAAGGCTCCACCTCCTCATACCATCTTCTTTGGGGGTTAGGATCTCAATATATGGACTTGGGGGGCGGGGGAGGGAGAGACACACACAAATTCAGACCACTGCAATAAATGAAATGTTTTGAACTAGTTGACCGAAGGAATGAAAAATTTCCACAAAGTTGAAATGTAGAAAGAAGAATTCAACTTGTCCGTCTAAAATTGACACCACAAACTGGTGGTCCACAGACAGAATTCAGATTCCAACAGTTCTTTATTTGTTCACACACATACACACACTTCAGGCCTTAGGGGTCTGTACTTCACAGGGAGTTATTGTCCTCACAACTCTGTATTGTCTAAGATGTGGCTGCTTCACACATTCAGATTAACTGCCTGTCCCTGAGGATGTCTCTGCTTGTGACCCTCACCCCCTGGGAAATATGCTTACTTGACCTACCTCTTCAAGGGTGAAAGTTTCCTGTAGAACAGATTCCTGAGGAAGGATCTGTTAGGATGATTTTTTTCTCTGTTGAGGCATTTTTCTTTCTTAATTATCAATTCACTGGGCATCTTGGGAGTCATCATCCACTTTCCAAAGTCTGATATTTAGACATAGTGGGAAAAGTGAAAAATTTGTGAAGCAATCATAATTAACAGAATGAACTAATTTCAAGATTTAAACCTTAAGATGAATAGAGATAATTTTAACTGTCTATATAGACATTACCTTTTTTCTCCCAGCAATAATTTCCAAATTGAAAATAGCTCTTCATATTTAAAGAAATTTTGCCCTTAGGAGAATTGAAGCAGGTAACTTCTCAGCCATTGATAAATGCTCTTGAAAAAGTCATGAATATGTGAAAATAGAATAATGGTGCATTTGTAGTTACTGTTCCTGTTAAGAAGGTTCTCAGCAGAATTGAGAATTGTATATACTCAATCGTACAGTAAACAGGAGGAAAACACATATGTTATTTCTAAGAAGCAATGTTCAGGAGTATGGGCTTTCAGACTTTCCTCTTATTTCACACGTACAGCTAAATGGTAACAATACATACATAAATTCACACATACATACATGAATAATAAGTTAAAAAAATTTATTGGTTCATTTGCCAAAATATGCTTTTAGATAAGCCAGGGGTGGGGAATGTCTGGCTCTCAAGTCTTATAAGGCCCATGAAATCCTCCAGTCTGGTCATGCCAAAACATTAGGGATGAGATAATTAAATGTTTGATCAAATATAGCAGGCTAATTTTTAATTTGACAATTTTGTATGGCCTGCGAATGATATTATAAATATCTAAATAGCCATCGGCAGAAAAAAGGTTCCCACCCCTGATTTAGGCTGTCAGTTAGAAGGATGGTTTCAAAAGGGTAGGAGCAGATAGGTTTATAAATTCTTACACTTACATGTTCTATTCTACAATTAAAAATTATATGCTTAAACATGATAAATTAGATAGTCCTTGATTGTTGGGACAATAAGCCTGTTACTTCATTCTCCCTCACACCAACAAGAAACCTCTGAAATCTCCAGATGTTAATACTAGAGGGCAGTACCCTGGTCTTACAACACACCCTATTTTCCTGTAGCTTTCAGTCATGTCTCTTGTACTCATTTAAAAACTTTTGTACGAATTATTAATCAATTAATACTGATTGTAAATTGCTGGAGAATGGTTGTACTTCTATTTTATTCCAGACATATCAATCAGCAAAATGTTGGATGCAAATTATACTCAATACTTGACTCATGGAAACCAGTCAAGTAGATGTATACTGCATTCTATGAAAAGAGCACAGATGTAGGAACACAGAAGCTGTAGAGTCTAGTTCCAGCACTGCCATTGACTAACATGTACCTTTTCCTAGCAAACTGTGGACTTAGGTGAGGTTAGGTTTAGGGAAACCATAGGGAGAGTGTATTGTCCAGGGCTCATAGCAGTGGGGTTGTTACTATCCTCAGCCCAAAGGTTGTGGGAAGGAAGTGGCTGCTGGAACTGGAAGAAGAGGTGGGAGGGTAGAGAGAGCTGTTTTGAGAGGCACTTTTAGATAGATGTAGCCAGTGTGAGGCAGCCTCACTGGAATACAGTGAAGGGAATTAGCATTCTGATCTCTCTTTTCCCTCTGATGACCTTTCCAGTTTGCCGTGGACTAAACTCATCTGGAATCCATAGAGCAAGGGAGCTCATTGTAGACTACACAGGTCAGCCTCCCAATGCAGAGAGCATGGTGGAAAGGCATGGAATATAGATCTGTTTTGACGAAAAGTGTTACCCATTACATTTGCCTCTCCAGAATTTTTTTAAGTCAAATTAACCTCATTACAGTGCCCTAAATTATCCCACTATAATATCTTTCCTTTATATTTATACTTCTGTTTCCCTACTTCAGTTCTCATTATTTTTGCCTAGACCAGAGTCAGTTACCCATCAGTATGAACACTTAAGATAAAAAAAATTCTCCTTTGATAGTCTGGCTCTCAGGAATTCAATTTGTATATCAGTCATTTCCAGAGAATGCTCAGTAGATGTGAGTGGAATTTAAGTATTCCATCGTGCTTCTGTTCTTGTTGGAGGGATGCATCAGTCCGCTGTCTCACAGTTACTGGTCTGTTACATAAGCCCCAAGTCTTTAGTCAAAGTCTTTCAGTATCAAAACATCACAGCTTAATCTGTGATCTTCTGTGGCAGATGGCTCAGGGCATTAAACATAAAATATTCTTCCAGAATCCCATTCCAGCAAGTGACCATAAGCATGGAACAAAAATGCAATCATGGCACATCTGCTGGCAAAATGAAAGCAGAAGCTTACAGACAGAGCAGGACTGCAATGAGTAAAATTTATAAAACTATAGAGCCCTCAGAATTAGGCAAGATTATTGGTACTTTAATATGTCACATTCACTGTGGCCAGCTGATGTATGTAATCCACATGTAAATGCCATTCTTAAGGAACTGTTTAATTTTCTCTTTTTTCTTTTAGAATAAGTAACAATTTGAACTTTCCCATGAGCTAATGTAATGGTAAGATTCTTTGTAAATAATGCATCCTAGTCATTTAAATAAATAAAATAAGTAGATTACAGGTGAAATTTATGAAACCTTCTATGCTTTATTTAGATAAAACTTACGCAGAAAGTTCTTTGATGTCTGTATTTAGAAAACAGAACAGTATTTTATATCATATAATATCATATAATACTTTCAAAATGGAAAAAAATATTGTAACTTTGTGCTTGACACAATACTAGGATACAAAGACAAGTTAATCCATGGACCTAACACATAGTTGGAACTTTATATTTGTTGAATAGGTTAGATTTTTGGATTTTGAAATGATAAAGACCGATTTTGCCATATTCGTGATTATGACCTCCTGTGGGATCACACTTGGAGCCTTCTTTGACTTACCTAAGTAAGCTGATGGTGGTCTTTGAAGACTGGTTTTATGGATGAGATAAAAGTATATGGCTTCAGAAATGTCAGTGAAAACATAATGAGCATTTTAGTTAGGGGATGCATTTGCCTTTTATCCATATAAGACACCGGAGAGACTAGAATTCCACATTCGGCTTATATTTTTGGAAATATGTTTTTTGTTTGACATTTTGGTCTGTGACAATTCTATTAAAGTTTGATGTGTTTATTTTATAAACAACTCTTTATAAAAATCAGGTGACACCTCTATTCTATTTCCTTTTTTCTCCTCAGAAACTTTCTGAGG